GAGGTCGAATGGTCATAAACTACTGCGAGACCGTTTCAAGCTGGACATAAGGAAGAATTTCTTTACTGTCTGAGCCCCCACGGTCTGGAATAGCCTGCCATTGGAGGTGGTTCGAGCACCTACATTGAACACCTTCAAGAGCAAATTGGATGTTTATCTTGCTGGGATCCTATGACCCCAGCTGACTTCCTGCCCTTTGGGTGGAGGGCTGGACTCGATCTTCTGAGCCCTAATGTCTATGAAAAATCTATGAAATCATGGAAAAATAGAGCTAGAAGGGACCTCAGGAGGTCATGAACTTTAACCCTCTGCTTGAAGCAGGATTACGGTTTAGACAACAATTGCATACAAGTGTTTGCCTAACCTGTTCTTAAAACTACATAACCAGCATTCTTGCACAATTATCAGGTACAATGCCCCCAAATACTAAGAACCTTAACTTGCAATGACAGGAGGTAATTGTTAAATATATTTGTGAGGTCTAAGGAAGAGTATCATGTGCCTTGCTCTAGAGGAAGGCAAACTCTTCTGCAGTCCATGACAGCTTGACTGGGGTTAAAATTTCTTTTGGAAACCAAATGTGGTGATCTGACCCTGAGTGGTGGCACAAGGTCCTTTAGCCAGGAACCTTAGAGTTTTTTTTATTCCAGCAGCAGTATTGGCGTGCCTCAGTCAAAATCCCAAGCCTTAGCTCTAATGGGCATGCAGTGCTTCTGAAGATTTTGTTTTGGGGGTGAGAAGTGAGGAGGAGGGATCCCTGGTACTTGCAGTAGCAGGAGGGGAAAATTCCTTCCCAGCCCCATGTGGCAATCAGCAATCTAGAAGCATTTGGGGGGTGGGAGGGAGGAACCAAACAGTCCACTGTGAACTGTAACCTGGGAACCACAAACAAAACTCTTCAACCCAACTGAAGTGTCAGAATTCTTCTTTCTGTTCATCCTATTCCTTCCATAAATTTATCTCAGCTCTTTAATCTTCTTAACCAAGCCAGTTGTAGACCTGTTTCATTCTTTTGCTACTGAGCATAGTCCTCTCCAATTTCTATCTGCTCTAGGCTCTAGAGCTCTTTGTGCAATTGCCAAGCAATGCATGTACAGGGGCCTCCTTATCGCCCAACTGTTGCTCTTAGCAGCACACTCCAGGGATGATTGAGTTAGTCCTAGATCTTCCCTGAACAATGCTCATCCAACCTATTCTTGAATACTTCCAAGGAAGGAGATTCCACAACTTTCCTAGGTAGTCTGTTCCACTGCCTTACTATTCTTATAGTTTAAATGAAAAGTCCTGATAATCTAGATGAAATAAAACTACAGTACCAGAAAAGAAGATTTTTCGTCCTCCTATTAGGACCCCTGCTTCCTGCAAGGTTTTTATTCGTAACATCCGATTAAGTCAACTGTTACCTGTGGAAGCTTACACCTTTCTGAACTAGTTCATCTCTAAGGATGCATCTGCACATGCATTAACGTACTTTTCCAAATGCGCATTAAATTTAGTACCTCCAATATGAGGTACTAAATAAATGCAAATTAGAGCGTGCTAATGCATAGTAGCACAAGTGCATGTTTTTTAGGTGACAATGCGCAGAAGCCTGTTCCCGGTGTATTAGCACAGGTTTTATGCAGCACTTTAATGCACAGTAGAATAGGCCACTGTGCATTAATGTGCATGTGTAGATGTGCCCTGAAGTTCCACTCTGCCCTGCCTTTTGTCTGATAATACCGACATAAGACTTCTTGGAGTTAATTCATGCTCTAAGCCCAATAGCAGTGTATTGCTTCACAAGCTTAAACATATCCTGACTCTTGTCAAACCATAGGCACCCTATGGCTAGCAAGACCCAGGGGAAATATTTTTTGTTAGGTAGGTCCTGCTGCAAGACTTACAAAACTGAGGATTGTCTACATAGCATTCCAGCTGCTGGGATGGTTTGAAGAGAGTGAGAGACAAAGAATATACCCATGGTGACAGAGGCATTTATTAACTGAAGACTAGGATCCTAGACTGCACTCAAAAATGAAATCAGCAGCATGGACTGGAATGCATGCTCCTGTGCCTGGATGACAGGAGACTGCTGATTTGGCTAAAACAGATTTACATTGTTTTAAGAGAGAGAGCAAGGAAGATGGTCTGAAAATGGTGAGCCATTTCGTTTCAACACACCAACAGTGGAGACAGAATAGTTTTTTGGTACATATCTTTGTGAAGAAGTGGCTTACTGACCATAGATTGGAAATTGCTTGTTAACCATTCTGAGAAAGATACTGGCACCTTCCCCTCTTGAAGTTTGTCTACTAGTAATTAACCCAACACTGTCACATTTAGCTTTTTTAATAGAAAAGTGTTTTAAACAGACCGGTATTCCTGTGTTATCTCTAAATCTTTTATAAGTAAAATAGGCCACGTGTTGATCAGGGAAGTCTGTACAGAACTGCTCTGCTGGAGAGAGTTTGAAATGTGCTGAAGTGGTGCAATGCCTGTTAGGCTTATCTGCAAGGTAGATGGAAAATCTAGTGAAAAATGGTCTGCCGTATCCAAGTCTGCCCAGATTGACCATGTTGCTAATTCTAGAAATGTTTCTGGTAAAGGAAACCCATGCTCTTCCCTCCCCCCACTCAGTTTTTCTCCTGAAAATGGGTGACTACCCCTAGTGAAGACAGACAGTGTGAAACTCTTTGCGTTTTTTGTGTGTGTAACTTTAAACATCTTATTACTCTTAACTTGTGAATGACAGTATTTTCAAAGTGATAAGCACAGTACTGCAGATAGCTGTCGTGACCTGCCTGGGGCTCCCAGGCCAGTGGTTCTCAATGAGGGTGCTGGGGCCCCTTGAGGTGCTGTGATATCTTTTGAAGGATGTCGTGAGGTGTGAGGAGATAAGTGCCACAGATCTAAAGATGCTAAGAACCACTGCTCTAAGCAGTATTTCAGTACAAGTATTGATGAAGATATGCTTGCTGCTTATATAGGGCAGACACAGATTGTTTCCAGGGTGGATAAAAATCAACTATTTTTTAAAAATGAAAACGGAATTTTTTTAAATCAGATTTTTTTTATTTAATCGTATTTTTTAATTTTTTTTTGTTAAGATGCTTTTTTAAAAAAATGAACATATATAAAGATGGTTTTAATTTAAGATATGTTGAAGCTCAAAGATATTATAATGGAATATGGATTATAATGTCTAATTATATACTATTTGAGACAATACAATCATGACCTTTTAAGAAAACTCTTCTAAAAAGGTCACAACAGGCCATGGACTATATTAGGGGCCCAATCTTAAGGGGTTCCCAGAGGCTCCTCTATAGATTAGTAAAGATTAAAGAAAACACCGTACGCAATGGGACTCAGTGCTCAGTCTAGAAGATCCCATTAAGCATCTCTGTGATGCTTAGTTTCAGTTCTCAAATTGTGGATTTGTGTCTCCAAAGATAACATCTTTGTTAACAGCAGTATATGGAGATGAGGGATAAGAGACCTGATTACCTATCATCAGCTGTCTTGTCTCTGCAACTTTATGCACACAGAGTAGAGCCTTTACCTCTCTAAAAGTGCAAAGTTTCAAGAAGTTAAGTGAATAAAGGACATCAAACAACACGAATGCGCTTTGTAGAAAACAGCGATTAAATTGAGGCTTCCTGACCAGCCATTTTAAATTGTGATTTTAAATAATGATTTAAATCTATTTAAGTCAAACTCACCCTGATTATTTCTGTGACAAGTCTTGTACCAGTACAGTTCCATTATGATTGAATCTGTCCACACAAGTCATTGGTGGGTGTGTGTGTGTGGCAGGAGAGATACCCACCACACATCAGGTAGCATGAGTAGCCTTACTGCTACTATAATGGTCAGGAGACTCTCATAAATTCTCAGTAGATTCATCCTCGGGATTTTGTAATTTGGGAAAAAGTTGTGCCCAAGGTTATCCTTTCTTTTCTTTTTTTCTTGCTCATTTTTTGCCAAAAACCCTGCTTTTTATAAGGCTAAGAAGTCTACTGAGAATTTCTGAAATGTAGGCTTGTCTATAAACCCTTTTATAATAAGAGTTAAGCTGAATGAAAACCTCTTCAACCTGGCAAGTCAAAACAGATTGTTGAGTTTTAAAAAGAGACCCTTCCTTGGTTTATCTTGTTGACCTGAATTAAGGAATATGCAGTTCATAGAATCATAGAGGAGTAGGGCCAGGAGGGACCTCCCGACGTGCTTTCCAGGTGCTGGCTTCCCCCCAGCCCAGAAGTACATAAAAATTATACTGTTTTTGTCTTTTTATGTACACCATTTTCCCCCTCTCTGAGTGGCTACGGTGGGAATTATAACTGCTGACAATTAATGAACTGGATTGCATGTGTCCTGGATTGTATTTTGCTTTCAGAAGCCCTGATATCCTTTCAAAACTCAATCAGCTGCAGCCTGATGGCATGTCGCAACAGAAGTGTTAAAAATACATATGAACTAGCACCTTCGTTCCCACCTGCTCCCAGCTGTTGAAATGGTTGTTACTTGAATGAGTTTGCTTTAAAAGCACCTAAGAGTGGTATCTAAAAACAGACAGAGAGTAGTAATAAAGGTTGTGTCCTTATTAGACACAATAAGTGGTAGCAGCATGCAACTTAACTCTTTGAAGGGAAAGGCACTAATCTTCCTTTATGCATCTGTAATTCTCTTTAGCATCAATATAAATTGTGGGCTTGCAGTGAGGGAAATATTATGCAAACAGCTATATTTCCTACCTATGACAACTGTCCTGGTGGTAAGATTGCTTCTGTTTTGAGAGCCGTAGTTACGTAAAATAATAAAATGCATATTTCTATAGAACAATTTCAATAAACCATCAGGATTTTGACATTACAGTTCAGTGCTTGCCTGGGGTCTTGGAATGGGTTTGCTTTAGAGCTGACAATTTGGAATTAGCTATTGGCAGTTTGTCAATTTGAGAAGTCTATTAGGGTACTAAAATGGATGTCTCATTTCTCTTACCCATACATATATCTCTCATGCCAAGTAAAATGTCTTTTTACAATATAAATATTTATGCTGCAGAAAATTGAAGTAGACAGCCTGAATCTATCATCTCCCAATTCTGCTGTCTCTCCAGCCCCAAGCTACTGTTTAGTTATAATAGTTGTCTTGCTAAGAACTATTTCTTATCAAAGAATTCAGTGGGCACGGACTGTTTTATTCCTGCTGTGTGGTTGGGAACAGAACAGGCATATTAACCTGTGTGCTGTACTTCTTCCATCTTAGGGTTGTGAAAAGTTAAACTTTTAAACAGTAAGTATATTTATACCAGTAATACATTGCAGTTATTGTTTAGCACCACAGTGCAGCCTGGAAGGGAAGTGGTGCAATGCCCTGGGAAAGCAGCCAGGCGGGTACTGCTTCTGCCTCCCTCTCCCCATGCAAGCAAATGGCGGCAGTGGGGGGACTAGTACCCATTAGACATGGAACGAGTGGTCGAAAAGAAGCCTTGCCTGTCTGTCGCAGCATGTGGCTCTGCCTCCTGTGCTACTGCTGCCAGTCTTGGGCAGTTGTGTGCTGACAGCTGCACTGGGCTGGGAAAAGCCATTGCTGCCTGTGGCTTCGCATGGGCTGTGAACTTGCCACTGCCTCCTTTTCCTCCTCCCATGTGCTGTTGTAGCCACTAAACCAGACTAGCTCTCCTGGGAATGGAAGAGTTGAAACTTTTCTTCTGGGCATGTACTACAACATTCATTAATTTCATTTCAGAAAAGATTTTTGTCCTGATTTACATGCTTTTGTGTAGTGTATATAGAGATGACTGCATAATAGCTTAAAATGAAGTCTTACTCTTGTAAGTTGTGGGAGGGTGGGTATAGGTTTGTGCGTATGTGGGATGTGGGGGAGGTTTTTTGTTTATTTTGGGGGAGGGGGGGTTGCCTTCTGAGGCCTTGGGATCTGGGTCACAACTAAGATTAGGAGGGTTATATTGCTGTGGTGCACCGATGCTTCTGCCAGGTCCCTGGCTAGCGGGTCTTGCTCTTCAGGTCTTCAGCCAAATTTGGCATCAGGAAGGAATGTTTTCTATATGCCAGTTTTGGCACAGACTGTGGAGGAATATGCCTTCTGAGCAAGGGACATGGTCCTTTTCCTAGGATCTTCTGCCCTGTCATTGCAGT